AAGTACCCAAATAGTAATTATCAAAAATGATGGAACCTGAAATATGTGAATATTCTAGCGAGTTCCGCGGATTATCAAATTAAGCCTGGAAGAGAGGAAGTTTCAAACGAGTGCCATGAGTTATCAAATTAATGGCAATCTTGAACTGCGAAGATCCATTTTAAATGATTTGCAACATAATATGGTGCAAGCATCCGGCCCTTCCTCCATCGTTGTCATGTTATGTCTTCAAATTTTGCTTATTTTGGGAATGAAGGTAGAGGTGAAGCCAATCAACTTTGGTAGACTTTTGGGAGTTGTGGTGGCGATGGTGGCAGCTGGATGGTTTTCTGGTTTTGATTGTGTGTGGGATAATTTAATTTTTTAACTTATTTAATGTGAGAAATATACAAATGATTATTTTGCCCCTTTCAATTTGGTCAAAATTGATCAAATTTTGTCAATTAACGGTCAAACGGATGGTTTCCATTCTTGTGAACCCCATGTGCTAATATTTGAAAGGTTTGAGATTGTGGTTGGCACAAAGTGAAAGTTTGGATAAAGTCTGCAAAAAAAAGCGAAAGGTTAGGGATTGCTGCTGTAATTATCCCAATTTTTCATTTCTTTTATGCTCATACGAGAAATCAACCACAGTCGTTCAAAGAAGAGGATGCATGTATCTTCTATTCATCTAGATTCAAAGATTCACGATCCTAATCAACTCAAAAATTCGTCATTGATCTCCAAATCAAACCCACATTTTTTAGAAACCATTTTTTTTTCTCTCAAATGACAATGACAAAAAGCAGAAAATCAAATAGTACAATTACTACTTTAAGTTTCTTCATGGCTCCAAATTGGAGCTGCCGAGGTCTTTGTTCTCAGCAGCTTTTCAGAGATTTGAAGGAGGCATTCGGGTGGTGTGATGTTCCATTTTGTGTCTTAATTTGGTGTCCGAGAAAATGAGGGATACTTTATTTTGAGGGAATCTCCGAGTTGTAAGACGAAGAAGAGTAGAATATTAAGTTGCCGACGTGGAGGCGACGGTCGTGCCAGTAACTTTAGGGAAGAAGATGAAATTTGGAGGTAAGGTGAGGTGAGGTGAGGTGGGGTGGGGGTGCTGGGGACTGTGAAATGGGTGGAGGGTGTGCTCGTGTGATTCCGCAAGTGTACAGATCATAACAAGTAATAAAGTGGATTTATCAAGTTCAAATATCGTCTCACAGAGACTACTATCTACTATAAATTTTTAAACTAGCATAACTTCAATTTAAATTAAAATAATAACTAATTATTAAATCAAATTGTGTTTTCTAACCAAAGTTCTAATAAATTAAATAACAAAATCAAATTAACACGATAGAGAAAATTGTGCAATTAGGTAGTTAGGATTTTCGATTTCATTTAGGTTATTTAACATACATCTAGTTCCTTATTCAACCATTTTTCATATGTGCCCATGATCGAATTATCCTAATGTAGCTAGTGATCTCTCTCGAACAACATTAATCCTATTCATATACTCAAACTTACTATGTCCCCGTTTGACACCCTTTTTTTTTCATCTCATTTTGCTACAGTTCACGCCTGACATTTGAATGTGTAAATTCAGAATTTTTTGTCAGCATAATTAATGTCGTTCAGCCATTGTTATTTTTTTGGACAATTTCGCCCCCAAATTCAATTGGATGTTTACATCCTTGCCCTCCATCATTTTAATACAAACATTTGAAAGCCACCTACCATCTTCGGAATGTTAAAAAATTTGAAACTCATCTGACAGCCAATGTCATGTAATGACAGACAATCTGTCCTTGTAGTCTAAGATGGGGCCACAAATATAGCAAAATGGATTGAAAAATTGGCAAAAAATGGGTGTCAAACAGGGGCTATATCTCTATATAAATTCACGCACATATGAGCGCATTAACCTATAGGAATTCAATATGGATCGCATAACCTATAATTATCTCTTGATTTCTTATAATACTTGTGTTATTTATTGCATGAGTTAGAATTATATATCACATCTCGGTCTTAGTATTATCCCTAAATCAATTAATTGTTGTGCAAGCAATTGAAGCATTAAACACACAATAATTAATTAACACGTATTAAAGTGGAATGAAAATCTTGAAATTAAATAAATATTAAAAACCTTAAGTTACATCATCCATCCTAATATAAAATGTATTTAGCCACTCATAATGTTGAAATTAAACAAATAAAAGTTGAAAAATATCACAGGGTTCAATTACACTCAATAAGATAAAAATCCTCCGAACTATTGTTAATCTTCGCCACACGAATTCCAACAATATTCTTTGCCTCTTTCCTTGCATAGTATAAATCTCCCGGCTATAACGACGACAAACTTGATTAATTCTCCTCAAATTCTTGCACAATTGACTAAAATAATTGCAATAGAATATTGAACTTTTCTCCTGATTTTCTTTCCTGTCGTGTATCCGTCTTCTCTCCTATCGCCGCTCGTGCTTTCTCTTCTTCCTTTCTTTTTTATTTCCTGCCCTCCTCTTTTCTTTCCTTATTTTCAGCCCAATTAGATTCCCAATCCATCTGTGCTTCCCTTTTGAAGTTGATTCATTTTCCAATTTCAATTCCAATGCTTAATTTGACCATCATAATTCTTTTTGCCATCCACTTTGATTATAATTGCATCAATGCTTCATATCTTTCAATTCGTGCAAATCAATCTCTTGAATTTTCAAAGTATGGAATTTGATCCCAAAATTGTAGATTTCATTCAATTTCGTCCTTCTTCATCAATAACTGCTCCAATTTGAGTTTTCTTCTACATAATTCCAAAAACACAAATAATTAAGTACCAAATTCATAATAATACCAATAAAAGCCACTTTTGATGGCTTAAATAAGTGTAAATTTAACACTTATCACGGTGGAAGATGATGGTGTTTTATTTTTGATTTTTTAATTTAATTTTTAACTCATTTAATGTAAGGAAAATGTAAAGTTACTATTATATCTTTTTTAATTTGGTCAAAAATTAATCAATCTTGACTTCCTTAGTCAACTAACGGATACTATCCATTTGGACCCCAACTGCAAATTTTTCAAAGATTTGGGACCTCCTTTGACACAAACTGAAAGTCAAGATAAAGTCCGCTAAAAATTGAAAGATTAGGAATCCCTGCTACAATTTTTCCAAGAAAGAATGTATCATGATAATTTATAGCATGTCTTGCAAGGATAAACCTTTTTAGATGATTAAATATAATTTCTTTCAAACATTTAGAGGATTCACACTTACTATTCATACACATTTAACCCATGTTTGGTGAGAATTAAAATCAAATTTTTCGTAAATTTTGATAGAAGTTGATAAATTGTATGGTTGAAAAGTCACGGAACTATAAAATATGTGGTTGACATTAATTATTGAATTTAACTTAAATTAAAATCTAGATTTTAATCGATACCAAAAAGGGGCTTAGATTCATAATTTATAAGTACTTAATTACTTTGCCAAACATACAATAATTCATTGGGATTTTTCTTGAATGTAATCAATCGGTATTGAGAAGCAAGGTTTTGGTTATTCTTTATTTCACTATAGCTACCATTAGTAATAGAATAATATTAGAACAAGGCATATTTGGTTAAGCAGTCGACAATGTCCACTATAAATAATCATTTTTAGCTCGTCAAATATAGTCCTTATTTAGCCCTCATGTTTTGAGGTTCATTTTTTAAAAAAATTCGTTTTTAATTCCATATTTTATGAGATTCACAACTTTTCAACTTCACATTTTATCAAGATTTTCAAAATCTACCAAAAATGTTATTTCTAACTAAGTCAAACAAGGAAATAATTCTCATTCACACATTTTGAGGATTCGCACTTACTATTCAATAGCTTATAAGCAATTAAATACTTTGTCAAACATACACTTAATAATTTGGGAGTTTTTTTTTTTTTTTAATGAATCAATCGGGGATTGGGAAGGAAGGTTCTAGCCCCTGTTTGGACACGGCATTCTTAAAAAATAAAAATTAATAATTCGAACGTTATATTGTGAGAGGGCCCCATTTTGGTAGTCATGTTTGACTGTATTATCTGCAGTGAATTAAAAATTTTGGTGAAAAGACCACAATGCCCCTAACTTGTTGCATTCAATTTTCATAAATTGGACAATTTTGACATTTCAAACTAAGAAAAAGACGGCTGCTATTTATTTTTCAAATATTACGGTTGGATCAGTGTTCACCTTATTATTGTAAGGTTTATATTTTTCAATAAAAAGTGGAATTAATAGCTCCCAAAAAGGCAGCTGGTCTTTCTTTATTGCTCTATTAGCGACTTGTTAGTATAATAGGCTCTACAAAACATGTTTTGGTTAGGCAGTCTGTCACGGTACAAGAACTTTAGCTTGTCCTTGTGTGGCACTTAGTCGATTGGTTTCCCCAAAATCCAACTAAGTCAGCATTCCCAGAAAATGGAAGCTTAGATAGGCACACTTTCTCACAATGCACAAGAGTTTTGGAATGCTCAAAGAGAGGCTTTTATTATGTACAAATGGTATGTACAAGTAAGAGTACAAAGGAGTACAATAGAGCATTAGAGCACTTTTTCTATGTGTTTATGCATGTGCATTACAAATGGCCTAGGTGGGTATTTATAGACATCCCACCTACTTAATATGTGGTGGAGATTTTAGAATTCTCTATACAATTCTCAAGCATGCAACTATGTCTAGGGTGTGTTCTAGAATCTTCCCATACCTTAGGTACATTCTCTAGGTAGTTCTAGAATGTTGGGGAGATTTCTTACTCATTTGAAGCTGCTAGATATTTCCTTAAATTACCGAAAAGCTCCAGTCCTCTCCGCAAGCTTCTAGAAACTTCCGCATATGCAATTTTAGCGCTTTCCCTTTCTGTTGGCTTTCTTGGCCAATTTTTCAAGTCCAACTCTTGTGTGCTCACGAGTCGGTGACATCCACGATAAATAATCACATTTTTTTGTGGGTTCCATCTGTCTTTCAATGTCGACGAATAACGTAGTCTGTGTGACAGGGGCAGGCGGGTTTTTAGCTTCATGGCTTGTGAAGCTTCTCCTCTCCAAGGGCTATATTGTTCATGGCACCGTCAGAAATCCTGGTTTGTATCTTATACGCTCGGCTTTCCCTATGCCTCTCCAATTTCAATTGCTGCTGCTGCTTTGTAATTCAAATAAGATGTTAATGAATTCTTTCTTATAACTCTTATGAAATCCTCTAGGCTTATTGCTGCTGAACATTTCTCTTCTTTCTTCATCTGATAAGTAGAATTCTGCTCTAATTTACTCTGCCCATTTATCATTTATGCTGTGAAATCATTTTATTACCACGGAATACTACTGGGGTTTTGCTTCAGCTCCTTTGGAATAGAGCAGATGGGCAATTCTATGTTGAAAATGAGATCATCTTTTTCGCATGAGAAAATGAATTATACCCTTGAAATGGAAGTGCCTCTACAAGCTCTTATTTTCAAAATCGGATAATGTTGGAAGGTGTGGCTAGGAAAGTTTTGTTGTTTGATTAGAAAGATATATAAATGTCAAGTGTATATGTATTGCAGCTGATGACAAAAATGTTCATTTGAGGAACCTCGACAATGTGGCTGGAAAACTGAAACTCTTCAAGGCAGACTTGCTGGATTATGGCTCAATTTCTGCAGCCATCAAAGGATGCAATGGAGTATTCCATGTTGCAAGTCCAGTTCCACCAGGCTCTGTACCAAATCCCGAGGCATGATTATGTCATTGTTATTTAATTGGAATTGTGAATATGTGGAAATCTTTTGAAATTCCAGATTGTAATTATTAAAGCAACATATAAGCATTTACTTACAAAGTTTTTGGTGAAACCTCCGGAAAAAATTCTTTTAGGCTTCTAGCTTTTCTGTACACGTAGCTAATATCAGCAAAAAGTGGCACAATTACCTCTGGTTAAATCATACATCAGTCCCTTGGTCTCGATTTCTTTATCGATGATAGTCAAATGATTCAGCCATTTGAACTTAATTTTTCGTGTACATCGAACAGCTTAGGAGACTGTAACATGTTAAAAATATGTTTCTAAGAACAGTCAGAAATTAAGTCCCCATTTGGTTTGGATAAAAATAGATTTTTAGTAGACTTTGATAAAAGTTGGTGAATTGTGTGGTTGAAAAGTTGATAAAATTTGTGAGTCCCATGAAATGAGCGATTGAAAATAAATTTGAGGAAAAATAAATTTTAAGAAATGGAGGCCAAACAAGGGCTAAAATATAATAGTGAGGAAAATTATTGACTGAAACAGTTGCATTCTTATGGCAAGATCAAATTTGACGTTTTTAAGAGCCTGTTTGGTACAGATTCTCATTTTCTACAGTAAATCAATTCTCATTTTCAACCAAACTTTCTTCAATAAAATAATATTTTCCATCACATCAATACTTTTTTCTTCTTTTTCAACCACACATTTAATTAATTCTTATTTTCAACCACACATTCTTCAATAAAATAATATTTTCCATCACATCAATAATTTTTTCTTCTTTTTCAACCACACATTTCCCATCATATCACTATTCAAAAATCAATTATTTCCCCAAAAATCCCCACCAAACACACTCTAAGTGTTGATTGTTCCATGGCAGGGAATTTATGCCCTTTGAGGTGCATTCTGTTGCAGAGCAATAAATTGGATTATCTTATGAACTTTTTTGTGTCTACATGACTATATTTTGAGCAGCTAATTTGTTTTCAGAAATGCTGCTATAACTGTTTAGTTATTCTTCTGTATTTCTCATATGAATTTAACTGCAGGTAGAACTGGTTGAGCCTGCTGTAAAAGGTACACTTAATGTACTCAAGGCATGCTCTGAAGCAAATGTCGGGCGTGTTGTATATGTATCATCAAGTGCTGCTGTTTTGATGAACCCTAACAAGCCCAAGGGTCAAGTAATAGATGAGACTTGTTGGTCAGACAGAGAATACTGCAGATCATCAAATGTAAATGCCTGATAAATTCATCTTTGATAAAACTTGATTTAAACAATTACACGTGATATGATGTTATTTTATCGATATCACCTCTAAAAATTACTGGCAGAAGGTTTTATCAGATTCTTTCCCCCAATTAACTTGACAACTCAATTCTATGTATACGCAGAACTGGTATTGTCTTTCCAAAACATTAGCAGAGAGTGAGGCTTGGGAATATGCAAAGAGAAGTGGACTTGATGTCGTAACTGTTTGTCCAACCACCGTGTTAGGGCCAATGCTGCAGAACACAGCAAATTCTAGTAGTCTAGTTCTTATTAAGCTTTTGAAAGGTACCTACCCATATCATTACTCCTTACTGAATATATTCAGTGTCACAAGTTCTTATGGTAATCTTTTTATACATTCATCACTGTTTGTGATCATTTCCTTATTCTAATTTAAGTTTAATGATTCTTAGTCTCTGGAGTTAATTCTACTACAATGTTTGAGTGTCCTAAGCTGATATCTATGTTACTTTTAAGCTATAGCTGAACCACTTGAAACGTTGGCTAATAAAATTAACATTCAATTGAGTTCTGCATAATGTTCGGGCCTATTCCCAACCTGCAGATTCCAGGCATATACATGCTGTTGATTGAACTTCAGATTGACTCACTTTCAAGAATCCCCATGGCATGGGAGGGGGACAACAATTTTTCGGATGACAAGATAACTCAATGTTTCTATTCTTATAGGAGCAGAGTTTCATGAGCTAAAACAACTTAACAATTATTTCTATTTTCAACTGTATCCAAACCACCACCATTACAACTGAGACTTATAGAGGCTGTAAACACAAATAAGATTCAGAAATATGTAGGATAAATAGCACTTATGAGTAAATGTAAATCTATATGAATAGAGATCCTTAGTTAGCTGTTTACATCCTCAAGACCACTAGGTCCCATTAATTGTACACTTGAAATCATGTTAGAAGTGAAATTAGACGTCTCACTTGCCGGAGTAATTAAATGCAATAGGTTTTGTGGCTTCATTAGCTCCCCTTTTAACATGCCTCGGTGGATACAATTAAGTTTAGTCCAGTGGTCAACTGGAGCTCCTTGCAAGTCATCATGGTATTTTGGTTTTCTATGAGCTTATTAGCATGAGATCCCGCTTCTTTATATTGGTTATCTAAGTTCACTAATCATTTCTACCACCATCTCTTTGTACATACGCATTGAAACAACTGGTCTATCTAATGTCTTACACTTCCATAATATTTATGTTCCAGTAAGTTTCAGCTGTTGGCTCGGAAAAAATGTAGCCTTTCATGTGGAAGATTGTTAGGATCCTTACTCTCATTTCAGTTCTCTTTCCTTTTTTTTCTTTTTCTTTTTTTTTTTTTCCTACTTTCGGACAATGGGAGTGTTCGAAACTCTCAATACATTGATACAGTTTATGTACCTGGTGCTCTCTAGATCAAAGCAACCATGGTCAAACTAATATAGCCCCTGTTTGGTGGGTATTAAAATCAAATTTTTAGTAGATTTTGATAAAAGTTGATGAAATGTGTGATTGAAAAGTTGTGCGTCCAATGAAATATGTGGTTAAAATTAATTGTTGACTTTGACTCAAATTAGAATTTAGATTATAATCCCCTACCGAACAGGGGCATATAATCCTCCTTCCTTTTTATTATTGCGTTCGTCATTCTACCTACATCTTTAAGGTGAACTATTAGGAAAATATGAAAAGGTAATTGTAGTCCCAATTTCGTAATGAATTTTGTTCCATTTAGCATCTAAACCTGGATCATCTGAACTTAGTGATGGCAATGGGGCGGGGCACCCTCACCCACCCCGCCGCACCACGCCACTCCCCCTTCCCGTCCCGCGCCCCACCCCGCCTTAGATGGGGCGGGGCGG